CGTATATATCTTATAAGAAACAAGCTGTAGTCATTAGGGAAAAAACTTCAAATCTACAAAGTAATCGTCGTGGGGTTTCGTGATATTTGGTAACTGGGCTACAAAGAATAGATTGAGCTTAAACCACTAAAAGTCATAAGGTTTAATGATATACAAGAAAAATATTGATACTAGTAGCTCTCAGAAGCTTCGAAGAGGAGATGCAGAGCTAAAATATGTCGAGAAAGTCAACAATTTGGGTATCAATTTTGTTATTCGAATGTTGTTGTCTAAAACTTTAGTTGTTCCTAGTCTCTTCTATGGGATTGAAATATTTGAAACGAGTGACTCCGCAAGTCGACATAAGATAAAGATAACATTCAATTATATAGCCAGGTACATATATGCTTTGGGTAGGGCTAACCATGTAACAGAAAGCGCAAACAAAATCTTTGACATGAATGTGGACACCAGGGTTGGTTTTACAATTAGAGTTCTTCTTCAAAAAATTATAAACACAAGGCAACCGCAGTACCAATACAGCATGTTCCGTTTTACAAACTCACAAAAAACTAATAACTAAGTAAGCATTAGGACAAAACTTGCAAGTTCGGAGAAGCAAATTCTTGTCCAAGCTATTCGCAAGTTGAGCTCCTTGCCTCATATCCTAAAAAGCATTAACCGCATCTAGTTTATATTAAGTCTAGGCACATCTTGCAATTACACTCACGACAAACTAAATTAAACTACAAAAAAAAAACTTCATAATTAAAATATGAATATATAAGTAAATAAAATATATTATTAACAAATTAAAATAAACTTAAAATAAAAAATAATAATAAAACTTGCAATTACACTCACGACAAACTAAATTAAACTACAACAAAAAAACTTCATATTTAAAATATGAATATATAAGTAAATAAAATATATTATTAACAAATTAAAATAAACTGAAGTCATAACGCAACTAATTAAAATAAAATTTAATTTATTAAATTAAGAAACTAATGCTTTCGATGTGACTGGCGCAGTAAATAATATGTGATGTACTTGTAGCGCTAGGATAGTAACTATCACATAAATAAATAAATTAATAAATACCGCTCGCTTTCTCCCCGAAGGTCCCATGGGATTTTTGCCTCAGAAGCAAAAGCCAATATCACCAAAACCGCTCACTTTCTTCCCGAAGAATTTCATCCGGCTCGGCCTCGGTCATAGGTGGGGTTTTAGAATCCAACACAGGGTTTGACGGGCAAAAAAAAAACCTTTGGCGTGACCGCTAAAAGTACCTCTTCACCTAACGAACAAAACTCTCTAGACCTGTGTCTCGGTGATTTTCGAATTTCTTTTAAAGGACTTCTGGCTCAGCCTGAGTTGTGTACCCCGGCCAGAGAGCATCCTTATGCGTTTATCATTTCGGATTCATCTCTTGACTGCAAGGATCGATATGTCCTTTTCCTTGTATTCACGCTGTGTGTTGAGCTCTGCACAACGTCCAATGGCACATACCTCAGCCTGGAATATGCTGGTATATTGGCCAAGGGATTTGTGGTATTTTATGCGAGGCCCTACCACTCAAGGGCCCGTGCCTTGTTGTGTCAGGGATCCATCTGTGTACCATGCTATGGTGTGTGTAGCCATAGGTTGCACTTCAGACAATGTGCTCCAATCTTTCTTATTTCCTAGGTGTGCTGTGAAGTTTTGCTTGAAGATTAATTCGGCTGTCATTTCATCCCTAGGGTGGAGTATTAGGGGCACCTCACCTAACAGATTAGACGCATCCCTGTTATTTAGAATGCAACCACTACCTGTGCCCTCAGTGCTTATTCTCAGGAGTGTAGCTTTGCGTTGAATTTCAATTACACAGTGGAGTGGTGTTAGCTCCATCAGAATTTCTAAGGCAGTTGTAAGACAGGTCCTCATTGCCCCTGTCATGCATACGCAGGCAAGTCTTTGCAACTTTCCTAGCTGGTTTTGCATGCTGGTGAGCTTAGCTCGTTTACCCTATGCAAGTGCTCCGTAAGTGAGGATTGGTCTCACAATCATTAAGTATAGCCATCGTATAATCTGAGGCCTGGTTCCCCAGGATTTCTCAGCAATTTTCCGAAAGGTATATGTCTCAAGTCATGGCTTATGGCTCAAGTCTTGGTTTTACTTTGCATCTTTATTTTCCATGTCTGAGTAGTGGAAGATGAGTTGTTGAATTTACGGGAATAGAAATTTGTCTTGGCGGTATTAGTAAGTTTGGTCATTTTTTGTCTCAATGACTTAAACACCGCGTAAGCTTGAGGTGTCCTGTACCTTTTCCACTTAATGTACGCCCCGCCACGCTGTAATAATGCGTCTTTGATGTTTTGATGATGTTTAAAACCACGGTTTTTCAGAAGAACGAATAACTCTGCTACGGACAGGTACAAGACAGTTATATAAATAACAAATTTTGTGTTGTAAAAAATTAACTTGTTTCTCTAATGCGGAAAGGGAATATATGTTATACCAATTGCACGAATTAAGGGTTGATTCCAAATGGTCATAGTTGATATTTCTAAAGTCCATAAAAACTATTGGATGGTCAAGGTATTGTAGGTCAAGTGCATAAGTCAAGAATATGACGTCATGTTTTGAAAAGGATGGGACAATAAGTTGGTCATATGTTGCTACTCTGTCTGTATCAGACACAAAAAATAAATCTAAAAGCAAGTTTTGGTAAAATGCGTAGGGGACCCGGAGTTAACCAACTTCATACCCAGCGATTTCATGTCCTCTGCGAGGGTGTACTCCCTTAAAATATCGCTATTAAAATCGCCTGTTATAATGACGTCTAAATAAGTTAATGACACGTCAATCTATTTCCAAAATAAGAACCTTGTACTGGGATAATGAAAGCTCTCTAAATTCAGAAACTATAAAATCAATCCCAACAAGAGCTTTTGGAATTAGTATTCCAAATCCCCCTACTCTGCATAGCAAGTCAAACGGAACGGAAGAACGTTTTCATAGTACGTTAGCCGAAATAGCTCGTTGCGTAAAAATAGACAGAAAACTTCACGATACCATTGACATTATGCTATAAGCAACCATAGATAACAAAACAATTTATTTCGTAACAGGTAAAAACATGTCGAAATTATTCATTTAACCCCCAACGAACTTGAAATAGAAATTTATAAAAACAAGAAAGAAAGCAAACTTCGGCAAGCCGAAGTTCATATACCCTTGCAGTTATTGCAAGAACTAAACTTTTTTGAAAACATTAAAATTATGATTTACTTGCGTATGTATATGTTTAAAAACATTGAAGCTATGATGATTTGCAGGTCATTTATTAGATAGTTATTTTATATATTTTTATTATTTCTAAGGGAGCTATATGATATAGTCGTCCGATTTGGATGAAATTTTGACCGTAATTCTATAATATTTAACCAATACTATATGTCAAAGAACTAAAAAAAATTAAAAAAATTACAATATAATTTTGTTTGTATTTTTTTTCCGATGGTTCCTATGGGGGCTTCCGACTTATATACTACCTGAAATAGAAATACAACTTTTGGGAAAGTTTCATGCAGATAGCTTTAAAACTGAGAGACTAGTTTGCGTAGAAACGGACGGACAGACTGACAGACGGACATGGCTAGATCGACTCTCCTAGTGATAATGATCAAGATTATATATACTTTATAGGTTCGGAAATGTCTCCTTCATTGCGTTGCAAACTTCTGACTGAAATTATAATACCCTCTGCAAGGGTGTAATAAAAAATTTCAAAAACTTATTGTTTTGTGTAGTAACTATATATTTATCTCAGGTCAATTAATTCGTTCATATTTAAATTTTTGGCTCATTTTTTTGATCGTTGCTAGGGCAGCTATGTGATTTATAAACATAATTAAAAATGTTGTTTTGAATGTTATTAAACTATTACTATGTTCAAAAGAAATAAAAACAAACAATGAAGTTAACATTTTTTTAACATTTTTGACTCAGTTATTTGATTGTTGCTAGGGCAGCTATGTGATTTATAAACATAATTTAAAATGTTGTTTTGAACGATATTAAACTATTACTAATTGAATGTTCAAAAGAAATAAAAACAAATAATGAAGTTAACACTTTTTTAAATTTATTTTTTTAGTATTCCGATAGATTCTATGGGAGCTATATGCTATAGTCGTCCGATTTTAATCCAATTTAATTTTCAGTTATTGTTGCATAACTTTTGCTAATTGCAAAATAAAAAAAAATCTGCTCCTGGGATAACATTTTTTAGATTTCCGATGAACCCGCTCGCCAAAACGTGGCTTTCACATGTGTTATGAAAATCACACTCCAAGGTTCTGGAACATTTTTTTCTCAAGTTTAAAATCTAAAATTTCAAGTCAAAACATGTATCTTTAAAGAATTTAATAAATAGCCACTTAATAAATAAATCATAAATAAAACGAAGAACAAATGTATGAAATCTTATCCAAATTTAAAAATTTAAACACGTAATTCTAAAATTGAAACAATAACAATGATTAAAAGAATTTAAATAAAAAAAATTAATAAAATAGAGAAGTTAAATATTTTTGAAATACTTTTTTTTATTAATATTCCCATTATTTTCATAGGAGCTCAACAGATCAGCAAAGTGATGAGACAGTTTTCATAAAATTGAAGACAACGAACAGCAATCCAATAAAAGTGACTTTGATGACTTGACATACCTTATGCGTGATAATATAATATAATAAGCGAACATCGAACTTCTTGAAGAATGAGTCAGTCCGTCTCCAGTTCTTTTTATTTTTGGCTTTTGCATATGTGCAAAATCATCGGTTGAAATCACTTACCCGAAAGAAACTAAGCTCAAAAAGATTGCCATATAATTTATTATCTATTTTATTAGCGCTCGTTTTGTATTGACCATGACTCCGCTCCGTAGCATCCGTATAACTACGTGGACTGCCATCCACAAGACCGGATAGGACATTTGCCTTACTGTAAAATGTTAAGTTAAGAAAATTTACCTTTTCTTTTTCTAGTGTAACTCCAGTAATAAAGTGCTTCATGCAGAGGTACGCAGTTTCCTGAAGTTCTGGTTTATCATTTTCCATGACTTTAAAAATTATATTTATAATTTTCTCTTTGTATCCAATATCACTTATATAGTGACATGCTGCTAGTGCTCGTAACGCACTGGTCCTAAGTGGTATGAGATTCGGAACGTTTTTATAGCAGTCCAACTTTGCTAACGTGGCATCTTCGGCTTCACTTAATGTAAGCAACTCGTGAAAAAAAAGTTTGTGATAGGTATTCGTCAAATCTGAAAAGTTACGAAATCGATAAATACCGTTTAGAAAATACAAAACAAAGGAAGCAAACTTGGGTTGATCGAATTTCGTTTAAGCTTTCAGCTATAATAACAAATATGTATTTTATGTATTATTCGTCAAACGTAAATCTGGATATCATTTTTTGTCATCTCAAAACTAGGCGCATTGTACACATAGAATTCAAGTGGTTAGTGGCGCAACGCGTAAGTTGGTTAATTTTAATTTTATTAAAATCGGAAAACTAAATCATATTAATGCTATAGGAATCATATCTTCAATGTTTTTAAGCATATACGCAAATAAATCATAATTTGTAATGTTTTCAAGAATATTTAATTTTTGCAATGGCTGCAAGGGTATATGCACTTCGGCTTGCCGAAGTTTGCTTACGTTCTTGATTACTATGAAATCAGGATATAAATACCGTTTTATTATAGTTTTCTTACATTTTGCTTTGTTTGATGATTATGAAATACAAATTTATAAATCCAACAGCAAAATTTATAAAACTATAAAACATAAAAATCCATTATTGCATTCGGTCGCGTGTAGACGTGTTTTCTTAACGCTCCGGAAAAACAATAAGTCACTGAGTCGTAAACGTTCGGAAAAATTTATAAACGCGTGGTTTTGCGATTCGCGATGCTAATTCGCATATCGTAAACTAAAGTTTTAGTTAATTAATTAATTAATATTTACGCTCTATCAATAAATGAGTAAGAACGTGGATCAGCGCACTCAACGCCAAAAACAGCAAGACGAAGCCCGTGAAAAAATTCAGAGTGAGCAAGACAAACGTCGTCTCTCTTTGGCCCGAAACAATGCTTACTTCTCGTTCACGAGTAATACTCTAGAACCGAAAGTGCAAGAAAGTGCAAGTTTACTGACCGCCGAAAACCAGAGAGCTAGTTCTTGCTCTCCCGCCCTGCTTTTCACCGCACAAACAACATGGTGTGAGCAATGCAAAACTCCAACCGAGCTTCTGCCACCTAGTGCAACAACAACAGCAACTACTACGTCAACTACAACGGTCTCTGTCGCCAACAATGCAATAACGACTCCACTCTCTTCTTCTGCAGCGGTTAAAGCAACAACACAACCAAGTGCAAAAATCGGGTCAAACGGCAAAAACAAAGCTACGGTAGGAAAAATTACAATTCCGCAAGCGGGTTCGGCCACGCAGACAGGCATGGATCGCTATATTAATATTTCCAAGCGCAAGCTAACCCCCCCAAAAAAATCTGACGGCAATATGCCCAAAATAAACCGTACCAACAAATGCACTGAAAATCTCGGGCCATTAAATGAAAATAGATTTTCCATTCTGGCGGAGCCTGAAACAGAGTACGAAGAATTAGCCCCAAAGAAACTAAAGCCCCCACCTATCTTTATTCGGGAGAAGATCTCTAACGTCCTAGTAAATAAAATAGTTGAGCTTGTCGGGAAGGATAACTTTCATGTTATTCCGCTTATGAAAGGGAACATAAGCGAAACCAAACTTCAAACCAAAACCGAAGATGATTTCCGAGTAGTGTCGAGGTACCTAAACAATGCCAAAAAGAATTACTACACGTACCAGCTGAAAAGTTGCAAGGGCTTACAAGTTGTCCTCAAGGGAATAGAACCCGATGTGACCCCCTCTGAAATTATAGAGGCTTTAAAGAAAACGGTTTTTGCGCCAAAAATGTTATGAACATTATGAACAAAAACAAGAAGCCGCAACCCCTTTTCAAGGTCGAGCTGGAGCCAGACAGCAGAACTTTGAAAAAAAACGCAGTGCACCCGATCTACAAGTTGCAGTACCTTCTGCACCGTAGGATCACAGTTGAAGAGCCGCACAAACGGAACGGGCCAGTGCAATGTACAAACTGCCAGGAATACGGACACACCAGGGCTTACTGCACCCTCAGGTCAGTTTGTGTAGCTTGTGGAAACTGCCACGGCTCCGAAATCTGCCCTGCCAACAAGGGAGACTCTCACACTAAAAAGTGTGTAAACTGCCAATGAAACCACACAGCAAACTACAGAGGCTGTCCAGTCTACAAGGAGATGAAAAGTCGGATGCAAAGAGCGTCAACGGCACGCCAGAACATTTACATGAAATCACAAACGACACCCGAAGTTTTCTTCGCAAAAGCAGCCAGGTCATCATTTGGTCCTTCAATTACCATCTACAGCCAGTGCTCTAAGATCAGGCACAGCTCACATAGAGCCGAAAACTGATAACATACAGCAGGCCATGGGACAGCCACAAGGTAACATGGAAACTATGATGATAGCTTTGCAACAAAATATGATGGAATTTATGTCCTTCATGAAAACCACCATGCAAATTTTAATGCAAAACCAAAATATCTTGTTACAAATGCTTGCAGCTCAGCAGTCCAAATAAATTATGCCTACGGCACCGATCATCCAGATGGTAAAGCACATGGCGGAATCGGCATCTTAATAAGAGACCGTATCAAACACCACTTTCACCAACGGTTTGCAAAAAAATATCTGCAAGCTACATTGATAAAATTACAGTTGGGCACCAGCAACCTTGCCATTGCCGCTGTCTACTGCCCACCCCACTTTACAGTCTCCGAAGACCAATTCATGGACTTCTACAATTCACTTGGAGAGCGATTCATAGCAGCAGGTGATTACAACGCCAAGCACACACACTGGGGATCCCGCCTTGTGACCCCCAAAGGAAGGAAACTATATAATGCACTTATCAAAACATGTCACAAACTGGAGTACGTTTCACCAGGTAGTCCTACATACTGGCCAACAGATCCTAGAAAACTACCTGCTTTAATTGATTTTGCTGTGACAAAAATTATTTCTCGCAATCTAATATTTGCCAAATCGCTTTTGGATCTATCATCGGACCACTCACCAGTGCTAATAACTCTTCTTCAAAGCCCGGAATTAATCGAGCACCCTTGCAGGTTGACGTCGCATCGAACCAACTGGCTAAAGTTCAAAAAGTACGTAAGTTCCCACATCGAACTAACTCCACAGCACAACTTCAAGGAGGACATCGACTGCTATGCCAATGCACTGGAGTCTGTACTCGTCGCAGCAGCCAAAGTCTCTACACCGCAAGGGAGGGATGGGCACACACACCAAAACAAAACTAACCTTGAAATCGAACAGCTTGTTTTGGAGAAAAGACGTTTGAGGCGTGCTTGGAAAAAACCAGCAGATCGCCATCCTCAAAACATAGTCTTAAGGAAGCTGGTCGCAGACTTACCAGGAAGAAGAAGAAAAAGCAAAACGCCAGTACATTGAGAAACTTTCACCCACCAGTACCAAGCATCCCCTGTGGAGGGCCCACCCAAATCTAAGTGCGCCGGCCGAAACAGTAATTCCCGTAAGAGACTCTTCAGGCAGCTGGGCCAGAAGCGACAAAGACATAGCTCGTACATTTGCTTTACACCTTCGAAATGTTTTTCAGCCAAACTCTGCAAATAATTCATTCACACTACCGTCGCCGTCAATTCGAGGTGGAACTGAGACGGCACCAATTCTGTTCCAAACAAACGAAGTTGCAAAAGTCATCAGCGAGCAATTAAAAACAAAAAAGGCCCCAGGCGGTGATCTAATAACTTCTAAGATGCTAATTGAACTCCCAAACTGTGCAGTTGAGGTAATTTGTAAACTCTTTAACGGGATTACACGACTTGGCTACTTCCCAAAAAAATGGGAAAAGTCGGTAATCATAATGGTCCCAAAGCCAGGAAAAGATCACACAATACCAGCCTCATATATACCGATAAGTTTACTCTCGTGTCTGCCTCCCGAGACAGGGTCGTTACAGTTGTTTGCCGACCCTCTTTTATAAATATTTTATTTATTTACATGAAAGTCGCTTAATGTTTCAACAGCAAATGTTTATTGTTAGCAAAAAACTTTGTTTAATATTAAATTGCTTATGCTTTATCAAACTTTCTCCCGAGCGGTGGCTGCTTTCTCAAACTTTAAGAAGCACCTCGTAGTAAATTTATATGTTGCTACATAAACGCCGTGCGAAAACAAGCATCAAAACCCGTACTTTTTTTCTTTTATTTAACTTATTCTCTACAAAGCACAAAGTTAAAGAGCGTACTAGGTACTATTTGTACTGAAATAAAGCATTAATGACCGAAATCTGTAAAGCAGAACTGGAAATTAAAAACAAAATAGGCATGAACAATATTTTTTACTTTTGACATACAAAAAATTTGAAATTCCTTTTTGAATCAGAGACGATTTTGTCGATTCCAATTTGTAAACCAGGGTAGTTTAAGTAATTCAATTTAATGGTGTTATGATCTTTCCACTCCTATTGCTTTAATATTTGTTAAAATAATATTTGGTTTAACATTTCAAACTTTCGGTTTTTATTTTATTAAAATTGGCTGACTATAAAATACAGCTCCGTTAAAAGCAATCAAAGTATTAAAAAATAAAAAATAAATAAAATAAATATTATAACTTTTCTATCTTTAATTAAAAAAAAATTCTTTTCGACAGAGTAATGGTTTCATAACTCAAAATTAAATTTAAATAAAATGAGAAAACGATATAATATAGCTGACATAGTGGCTATCGAATAATTAAGCTGAAAACTTCGATGTTTTTAAACCTATACGCGTACTTGTAAATCAAAATTTAGATGTTTTAAAGAGAATTAAATTTTTGTATTAGCTGCAAGGGTATATTAACTACGACTTACCGAAGTTTTCTTAATTTCTTGTTTATTTTCATTTGTACTTTAAAAAACGGATGGTTTTTGCCCAATTTTTGATATGATTTGTTATGTTTAACATGTTAATTGTTTAACAAAAAATTTTTAATTTAGAAATTAATGAGAATATACAAAAAGCAAATTCAAAATAAATTAAAGGTTCTTTTCCTAATAAATGTATAAACGCAAAAACATAAATAAACAATAAATTGCTTTTTTAAAAAGATAAAAACCAATAACATTTCTTCAAAGGTACCGAAAAGACGAGAGTTATATAACATTCTAAAATTATTAAAACAGTCAGCAAATTCAAAATGTAAAAAACTATATGAAAGACATTTTTAAAATGCACGGTCCTTTGAAATTGTTAAGTAACAAGGCTAATTTTATTATGCAGCTTTGTGTCGATTTCAAAACTAATTAAATAAAAGTAAAGTAATTTTTTTGGTAAAATAAATAATAATCGTTACAAAATCTGATATCAGAAGTTTTTCGAGTTTAATGTGCGACCGTCACATAAATTTTATATCGTCAATAAGTGTTTTTATTTGATTTATAGACAACGGGCAAAATCGGTCAAAAAACGTTGTTAAACCATTAATTAATTTCAATATTTCAAACCATTACCCCACCATCTCCGTGATTCACAGTGGGATAAATTTTTTCTGCCTTTTATTTTCAAAAACGCCGAACTTACTCTCATCAGAGCACATTAGGCTGTTCCAAAACTCTGGAGGCTTGAAAATGTGCTCATTAGCATACTCTATCCGTTTCTTTAGATTTACTTCGATATAAAAGCCTTTTTTTGGCCTACATGGCTTTTGTCCCCTTCCTTTTTTATAACCCTTCGGATGGTATCTTCTGATACAGATTTGGAGAACCGCTCTTCGACTTCCAACATAGGCTCGTAGGCACGTACGAAAATTTTCTTGAACCAGTTGAATACATTTTTTCTCTTCCGTCGTTGTTAAAGCCGGAGGACGACCAGCACGTGGATTTGAAATGATCCAACCGGTGTAAGTGAAGTTAAGGAAAACCATCTGTATGGAGGAGTGAGCTCTATTAACTGTAGCTTTTACACTCAAGAAATAACTTAATTATAATTTTTCTTTTGGCTGGACAAATCTTTGTGAAATCAAAAGTTGACATCATTTGTGTGTCCAAAACCTGGTTTACTTCGGATATGTGTGACTTCTAGTGTGCAAGCATTGTCATGAAAGACAAATCGAATATATTTTTCTTTAATTATTGAACTATAAGCCAGGAAAAATAACACTGTCGGCTGTATATAGTGGCCTTACAAAAATACTGATTGCTCATAACTTCTTAAGCTAATATCAGCCTACTCTGATGTAATTTTAGCGGGGGACTTTAATGGCTACCTTCTTTGTGATGACCAGCCCACCAAGTCCATGTTAATACTTGGCATATATGCTGTTCACAATAGAGAACCGACATTATGACCAGATCTAAGCACCTACCTTTTCTAATACGATCTTATTTTCTTAACGTATGGAATGTCTCTTGATTGCAATAGTGATAAGATAAAATATAGGGACTTTAAAAATATTTATTATTAAGAATTTATAATACGCTTACGACAACGTAAAGTGCAAACGGTCGTGGTCGAAGCGCTTTAAAGCGGCCCGGACCGCTTGAAGGCAGCACCTGTACAGTCCGTACCTCGCACGAAGTGATTACCACGTGTTTCAGTCCATTGCGAACGAGCATTGTAGTCAGAAGTTACACACAAAAGTGTCTTGTGAAAATTGGGTCTCCGAGTTAGTAGGGAAGCAATCTTCTACAAGAGGGACATTATGATGTTGGCATCTAGTTGGGAACTAGTCATCGAAAAAAATTGCACCTATTTATTTATTGTAACCAACTTTATGAATAACTAAAAAATACAAATATACTGTTGGATTTTATTGACTCCTTTCTTTATACGCATTTCTATCTATTTAAATGTTTATACCCTTACAGAGGGTATTATAATTTCAGTCAGAAGTTTCCAACTCAGTGAAGAAGACATGACAATGTAAAAATCATATATATATTATTTGTACGTAAATAAAAAAAATATTAATTCACAAAATTAGGGTTTCTGTATTATTTCTATGCTTATGCAGTAGAGTGTGATTGTAACGCAGTGAAGGAGACATTTCCGACTTTATAAAATGTCGTTTTCGAAGAATTATTATTATACCCGTTGGTCGTAGACAAGTAAAATGCGGCGTTTCCGACCCTATAAAGTATATATATTCTTGATCAACATCAGTAGGAAAGACGATATAGCCATGACCATCTGTTCGTCCGTCCGTCGGTCCATCTTTCCGTCCATCTGTCCGTCCACCTGTCCGCCCGTCAGTCCGTTCGTCCCTCCGTCTGTCCGTCCGTCCGTTTGTCGGTCCGTCCGTCCGTCCGTCCCTCCGTCTGTCCGTCCGTCCATCTGTCCGTCCGTCTGTTCGTCCGTCCGTCTGTCCGTCCATTTGTCCGTCAACTAGTATCTCAGTTTTAAAGCTATCTGGATGAAACTTTCCCAAAAGTTTTTTTTGTATTGCAGGTAATATATGAGTCGGAACGAGCCCAATCGGACGATAACTCCCAGAAGAACAACCGGAAAAAAAAACAAAAAAATAATTATTATTTCGCTGTTTCTTAATTTTTTTTAGTTATTCGAGATAAAGTCATGGTTTATTTTTTCGGAATTATGTTTAAAGTTGAAATGACGATTACAATGGACACAATTGGAATGTTAAAAAAAATCAAAATTCATATACTTTAAAGAATATTATATTTTTGCATTAGCTGCAAGGGTGTACAAACTTTGGCTTTTCGAAGTTTGCTTCCTTTCCTGTTTTATATCATATTATACATTTTTATCGTATTACATTTTTTGTTGATTTTTTTCAGGTACAATCTGCAATGCGTCCACTGCTCTTAAAATTGGGCGATCACAGAAATTTGTCTATACCAGCAATAAAACGCTTATCTTATTTTACGCAATTATTTCCGGAAATGTTTAATGAGAAGTTAAGTGAACAAATATTGCAACACTGTTCAAAAATTATTGAAATATTTGTGGGAGACTATAAGTGCACAAATCAAAATATCAACTTTTTTGCATCATCAAAGGGCGGAGAGTACGAACTTAAAATTGTCACACTAGTCGAAATGTTTTCCCATATCTCAGCATCAGAAAAATATATTGAAAAGTTATGCCAACTCGTCTTAAAAACAGAAAAAAATCTGATGATTGAGGCATCAAGCCCATATCGAGAACCGCTTCTAAAGTTTCTTCAACGTTTTCCAGCAGAAACAGTGGATTTATTTTTAAAAGAATCTGTTATGATGGACTCTCAATGGAATCGTTTTTTTATATATGTTTTAAAGCACAAAATGGGATCAACATTTCGTTTAGCTATAAAAAACAGTAAATATAACAAATTATTAATTTACTTAAACTTCAATTCCGACTTACTACAAACACATAAATATGAAGTTCATCACCAAGCCGTTTTAATAATTTTTACGTTAATGGAAATAGATGATCAATGGATTCCGACGCGACGAGACATTGTAGACGCCCTCAAAAATTGCTGGCAGAGTAATTTATATTCCACATGCGCTGAAAACGTAGTTTGTGATTTATGGCATTTAATTGGAAGAATACTCTTGCTTTATTTTTCAAACAACACAAATGATATTGAACTGCTCTTTCAATTATTAAAAGCATTATGCTTTCGCTTTATACCTGATGTTTACTTCTTACGAGATTTCTTGCAAAACACAGTTGCTCAAAGCTTTACCGTTAACTGGAAACGAAACGCATTTTTTTATTTTGTTGAAAATTTTAATAACAACACAATTTCAGAAGAGCTGAAAGCGAAAATTATTTCAGCTGTTATTATTCCTTGTTTTACTGTAAGTTTTGATAAAGGCGAAGGAAACAAACTAATTGGCGCTCCGCCGACGCCATATCAAGAAGATGAAAAAAATATTGTTTCCGTCTTTATTAATAAAGTTTTTGACCCGGATAAACAATATGAAGATGCAGTTAGAATTGCTCTGTTACAGCTTGCCTGTTTATTGGTAGAACGCGCATCTCAGCACATACATGATGGAGATGCTAATAATAAGCGGCAGGGTAATAAGCTTCGGCGTCTCATGACCTTTGCTTGGCCCTGTTTACTTAGTAAGAATTCGGTGGACCCAACTGCACGATATCATGGTCATTTATTGCTTGCGCATATAATAGCTAGATTGGCAATTCATAAAAAAATAGTTTTGCAAGTATTTCATTCGTTGCTTAAAGGACATGCATTAGAGGCTAGATCTATAGTTAAACAAGCTCTCGATGTACTAACACCAGCTATGCCGTTGCGAATGGAAGACGGAAACACTATGTTGACACACTGGACAAAAAAAATTATCGTTGAAGAAGGCCATGCAATGCAGCAGCTGTTTCATATATTACAACTTATAATTCGTCATTATAAAGTAAGTATTGACATTATTATATTAAACATTTGATTTAGTCAGGTCCGTTTGCCCGTCCGTTTGCCCGCCCGTCCGTCTGTATGTCTCTACGTCGATGTAGCTTCATTGGTGTTAGACATGTACGCATAAAAATCGAAGCATGTAGAATATTTATACCCGTTATTCGCAAAGTAAAAAAATTTATTGTATTCGTTGAAAAGTATGTTACAGGTAGGAAGAGTCGTTCCGGACTCTATAAAGTATATATTCTTTATTAGGATCACTAGCCGAGTCGATCATACCAAGTCCGTTTGTCTGTCCGTCTGGCCGTCTGTATCAATGTCGAGATCTCGAAAACTACAAAAGCTAGAGATTTGGAATTCTAGTAATTCTTACGCAGCCCTGGTTTAATTCAAAACGGTCACGCCCACTCTGACAAAGCGCAAAAGTCTGTCATGTTACTCTGTTAAACCATAGTTATAGGATTGTTTGTGTGTTTCGATTATTTTAAAAAATTTTTATTTAAAAAGTTATTCAGTTATTTAATCCTCTGCCGCCTACTAGACTATCCTATTCTCATTAGATAGAGCCGTAGTGCTTGCTGATTTAGAACTGTTAGCGAGGGTGCTGCCCGCTCTTAGCTTCCATGTTGGCTATGCAACTTTATAAAATGCATCTATTCTTGATGAGACTATACAAGTTAATATAACATTGTCCAGATCAAGTTTGAAAACGGCGTAGGTCGGATCCTAAAGCTACCTTGGGACAGTCAAGTCAAGATGTTAAATTTCGCCCTTCCAAAACGTACTTTTTCGTCCTATTCAAGGTAAATGGGAGCGTTTCCGACCCTATAAAGTATATATATTCTTTATTAGGATCAATAGCCGAGTCGAACTAGTCATGTCCGTGTGTTTGACCGTCTGTCTCTCTGTCCGCCTATCCGTATGTATGAACGGGAAGATTTTGGAAACTATTAAAGCCTTTGATGGTTTGACATGCAGATTCTAGTAATTCTTACGCAGTGCAAGTTTTTTTCTGCTGCAAGGGTATATAAACTTCGGCTTTTCGAAGTTTAATATCTTGCTTCTTGTTATGTAGCAATCAGTTGATTTTAATGATTATATTATAATTTATTTATTTTGTAGGTATATTTTCCTGTAAGGCATCAACTAGTGCAACACTTAATAAATTATATGCAGCGCTTAGGATTTCCTCCTACTGCGTCTATTGAACATAAGAAACTAGCTGTGGACTTAGCAGAAGTAATTATAAAATGGGAGCTTCACCGCATTAAAGAGGATGAGCGAGAAACCAAAGCTGATGGAACCGATGAAGAATTCTTGCAGGAAAGCTCAATAAAACGGACAGGAATCGATTCGGTGGAAACTCGAAAAAAAGTCTTTTGACAATATAAGAGATTCAACAGTGCAAGGAAAGTACAAAATACGAAATTAAAATAGTTTTACTTCATACGCTTAATAGTTACAGGTTTTGAAAAATTCTACGCTTAAGTCGTCTCCTTACCGTTCTAAACTCTTTTAATATGGCACAAATTTGCTGTTTAGTACTAGTTCACAGCCCGACGAAAAAGTTGCGTTTTAAAATGGCTATAAAAACGAACGTCTGGATATTTTTCAAATATTTTTTTTTATATTTAAAAACCCCAACTTTGCGGTTTGGTTTTGGTTAATTAAGGAAGGCAATAAGTAATTGCAAAATTGTTATGGAATCCAAGGGGCATCAAAAAAATCATCCTTAAATATCATTTTTATACCCTTGCAGAGGGTATAATAATTTCAGTCAGAAGTTTACAATGCAGTGAAGGAGACGTTTCCGACCCTATAAAGTGTATATATTCTTGATCAGCATCACTAGGAGAGTCGATCTAGCCATGTCCGTCTGTCCGTTTCTACGCAAACTAGTCGGTTTAAAAGCTATCTTTCACTTTCACTTTCCCAAAAGTCTTTCTATTGCAGGTAGTGTATAAGTCGGAACGAGCCGGATTAGAATACTATAGCATATTGCTCCCAAAGGAACAATCGGAAAAAAATAACAATAAATTTTAACTTTGCTGTTTTTAATTTTTTTTTAGTTCTTCGACAAATAGTAATTGTTAAATATTTCTGAATTACGATTTAAATTTCATCAAAATCGAGCGACTATATCATATTGCTCTCATAGGAACAATCGGAAAAAAAATACAAAAAAATTATAACTTTTCTGCTTTTAAAATTGTTATTTAGTTCTTCGACTTATAGTAATGGTTAAATATTTCAGAATCACGGTTTAAATTTCATCAGAATCAGACGACTATATCATATAGCTCCCATAGGAAAAATCGGGGAAAAAACTATATTTCGGCCGTTTCGACTATTCTCAAGGAAAACCGTCATTGCCGTTTAATAAAAAGTGGAAAAAAAGAATACAGTTTTTCATTCCAAAATAATTGAAGGCTGACATACCAAAAAGTGCAGTTTCAGGTTCCACATGCTGAACAGGCTTTCAGAAACCATGTCATAATAAAAAAAACCGGCTTTAAGGATTCGCTCTGTGATCAGGAAAATAAAACAAAGAGAAAAGAAAGGAACTCAGTTATCAAAAGAACAAAACTTCAAGATTCCGAGTTCTAAAATTATAAAATTTGGGACGACGAAAATTTGTTTTAATTATTTAAAATTAAAGGAAAAAATGAATCTTTCCCAGCAGCTAGCGACCCCAAGTATACAGTCCGGAATGTCAGGCTCTGGTAGCACTTTAATGTGAAGAAGAAACTCAAAACCTTAACATAATGCCAAGTCTGATGAACCTGCCTAGAAGGCATGTACAGTCCGTACCTCGCACGAAGTGATTACCACGTGTTTCAGTCCATTGCGAACGAGCATTGTAGTCAGAAGTTACACACAAAAGTGTCTTGTGAAAATTGGGTCTCCGAGTTAGTAGGGAAGCAATCTTCTACAAGAGGGACATTATGATGTTGGCATCTAGTTGGGAACTAGTCATCGAAGAAAATTGCACTTATTTATTTATTGTAACCAACTTTATGAATAACTAAAAAATACAAAAATACTGTTGGGCTTCATTGACTCCTTTCTTTATACGCATTTCTATCTATTTAAATGTTTATACCCTTACAGAGGGTATTATAATTTCAGTCAGAAGTTTCCAACTCAGTGAAGAAGACATGACAATGTAAAAATCATATATATATTATTTGTACGTAAATAAAAAAAATATTAATTCACAAAATAAGGGTTTCTGTATTATTTCTATGCTTATGCAGAAGAGTGTGATCGTAACGCAGTGAAGGAGACATTTCCGACTTTATAAAATGTCGTTTTCGAAGAATTATTATTATACCCGTTGGTCGTTGACAAGTAAAATGCGGCGTTTCCGACCCCATAAAGTATATATATTCTTGATCAACATCAGTAGGAAAGACGATATAGCCATGACCATCTGTTCGTCCGTCCGTCGGTCCATCTTTCCGTCCATCTGTCCGTCCACCTGTCCGCCCGTCAGTCCGTTCGTCCCTCCGTCTGTCCGTCCGTCTGTCCGTCCGTTTGTCCGTCCGTCCGTCCCTCCGTCTGTCCGTCCGTCTGTCCGTCCGTTTGTCCGTCCGTCCGTCCCTCCGTCTGTCCGTCCGTCCATCTGTCCGTCCGTCTGTTCGTCCGTCCGTCTGTTCGTCCGTCCGTCTGTCCGTCAATTTGTCCGTCAACTAGTATCTCAGTTTTAAAGCTATCTGGATGAAACTTTCCCAAAAGTTTTTTTTGTATTGCAGGTAGTATATAAGCCGGAACGAGCCCAATCGGACGATAACTCCCATAAGAACAACCGGAAAAAAAAAGCAAAAAAATAATTATTATTTCGCTGTTTCTTTCTTTTTTTTCAGTTATTCGAGATAAAGTCATGGTTTATTTTTTCGGAATTATGTTTAAAGTTGAAATGACGATTATATAATATAGCTCCAATGGAAACAATTGGAATGTTAAAAAAATCAAAATTTATATACTTTAAAGAATATTTTTTTTTGCATTAGCTGCAAGGGTGTACAAACTTTGGCTTTTCGAAGTTTGCTTCCTTTCCTGTTTTATATCATATTATACATTTTTATCGTATTACATTTTTTGTTGATTTTTTTCAGGTACAATCTGCAATGCGTCCACTGCTCTTAAAAGTTCTAAAGTCTTTTAATATGGCACAAAGTTGCGGTTTAGTACTAGTTCACAGCCCGACGAAAAAGCTATATGAGAGCTATATGCTATAGTCGTTCGATCCGGCTCGTTCCGACTTATATCCTACCTGCAATAAAAATACAACTGTTGGGAAAGTTTCCTGCAGATAGCTTTAAAAATGACTATTTTGCGTAGAAACGGAAGGACAGAAGAACAGACGGACGGACAGACGGACATGGCTAGAGCCACTCTCCTAGTGATGCTGACAAGAATATATATATACATTATAGGGTGTGACGACCCACCGTCACAATTATATAAACTTCAACTTTCACATTAAAGCTTAAAAAGAACATTCCAAATACTGCCCTTTTATTATTCAAACGCGCTCCCAAAGCCAACAGCACCCGGTCACATTTATTAGACGAAGTTATCGATTGCCGATAATCCCGATTACCCAAAGCGGAATTATCATCATCGTCCGATCTGGTCACACTAAGCAGCGCCTATATAAGCGGAGACACAGCTCCAGACCAGTCACTTGCGTTCCGACGACTCTCGAGGAAACAACAGCTAGGAGGAATACCCGGGTAAGTGTTCTGGTAGTTAGTCTTGGTAGTGGTGGTGGATCCGTAAGAGTTCGATTTGAATTCGGCTCTACGACCTGGTGAGGATCACAGACGCCCGGCGTGGTTTAGGAATACGCACCCAGGCCCGGTCGAGACCGTTGAGCCCGGCACGGTTTTCGTTTCTTCGGCCCATCTCAGTGAGTTCCTCCCAGAAGTCACGTTTCCGGCTTCCGACCCGGAAACGATACGGAATAAAACGGCAGATCGAAACTAACGATGCCCGGCAGCTCGAAACTAACGATGTCCCAAATCCCACTAGAAATTCCAAGTAGTTCCTTCCTCTAAAACGACCCAGAACACTACGAGCCCGACGTACTCGAACGACGAGACACGACGACGACAAGCAGTGCACAATCGGCCCTTCCGAAGCGCCGACACCAAGCAGTGCACCGAGCCACAACGCATCGTCGACACCAAGCAGTGCTTAATCGGCCCTCCCGAAGCGTCAACACCAATCAGTACACTCAGCCATCACACATCTGCAACGCCAAGCAGTTCCTCAAACCATTGCGCAGTGCCAGCTTCCGTAGCGCCGATCCCGCACACAAAGCAGTGCGATACTCAACGATCTGCGATATACTCGGCCCTTCCGCAGCGTCGATATCAACAAGCAGTACCACATTCGGCCCTTCAGCAGCGCCGACGCCACTTATCAAGAAGTATCACGTTCGATATAATTATAGTTAGAAAACGTAGTCTTAATCAATCGTACTATTAAAATATAACCATACTCTGTAGCGTTCGATTTGTGTTATTCTTTGGAGAAAGGGATGTAAACCGATCAAAAGAGGAAATAAATTTCTGTCTCGAACACACGGCCACGGCGAGCTATACCGCCTCCCAAAACGGGGTCGTTACAAGGGTCGGAAACGTCTCCTTCACTGCGTTACAAGCCTCTGACCAAAATTATAATACCCTCTATATTTAGATTTGCATAGTTTCATGTTAATAGCTTTTTTAATTAAAAATTTCACATAAAAATATAAAAAAGGAGATATTTTCCCAGCTATTAACAATTGTGACGTCCGATCGGCACGCTCTTTTACCCTGAATAAGGTATTCATAAACAAAGAAGGAAAGCAAACTTCGGCAAAAGTTCATATACCCTTCTGGCTGTTTCAATACCGTTTGCCATTTTCACAGTCGTCCTAAGACATATGTACGCAGATCAAGTTTTAAAAGCGCACCGATCGGACGTCTATATCCTAAAGCTCCCATAACGACAAACGGATATAACTTGCAAGAATTGAATTTATTTTGCGCAGTGTGCTTTTACACTGCTATAGGCATCTTTCCAAATCGTATTTTTACACCCTTGCAGAGGGTATTATAATTTCAGCCAGAAGTTTGCAACGCAGTGAAGGAGACATTTCCGACCCTATAACGTATATATATTCTTGATCAGCATCACTAGACGAGTCGATCTAGACTATACGTATATCATATAGGTCCCATAAGAACAATCGGGAAAAAAAAAAATTATAACTTTGCTGATTTTTTATTTTTTTTTAGTTCTCCGACATATAGTAATAGTTCAATATTTTAGAATTACGGTTTAAATGTCGTCAAAATCGGACGACTATATCATATAGCTTCCATAAAAGTAATAAAAAACATATAAAATAACTATCTAATAATTTATCTGCAAATCATAATAGATTCAATGTTTTTAATCATATACGAAAGTAAATCATAATTTTAATGTTTTCAAAAATGTTTAATTCTTGCAATAGCTGCAAGAGTATATGAACTAGGGCTTACCGAAGTTTGCTTTCTTTCTTGATTTGACATCATATCGACAATTTTTAATTTGCAAACAATTTCCCCGCCTTCTGATACAGCCTTGAAAACCCTCATTGACACGGCCACAGCCTTGTATGACTCCTTGCTCTCTATTGGGGAGGATAGACGGATTACTAATGCTATTTTAATACATATGGTAATGAGCAAGGTCGATGCAGGAACTAAAAGAAAATTGGAAGAACAGTTAGATTATACTTCGCTTCCACTTTGGAGCGAATGTGACGCGTCCCTCAAAAGCGATACCAACATATGGTAACGGAAGAGGCTTCCAAGCCCAAAACTGTTCAGCAGACCCAATCTAACCCTAAGAAAAATGGAAATATAAGTTTTTCGTTTGTCGCTGCCAGGAACGACCCTGTTCAATGCGTGTATTGCAACTCAGTTGAACATCAGATTGGAAACTGCGCTTCCTTCGCAGCGCTAACAGTTCAGCAAATATTCGATTTCGCTAAAAGAGCACCCTTATGCATTAACTGCTTAAGAAAGGGTCACACGGTCAAAAAATGCAAATCAAACAGATGTAGAGTGTGAAATTCCTCACATCACACGTTAATACATATATATTCCCCAAACACAAATCTCGCGTTGACACCCCCTTCTCAGCCCACGCTCATGCAGGAGACTCCATCCATTCTTGCAACTGCTGTTGTGAGCGTTCAAACCAAAAGTGGTCAGTTCGTATTAGCTCGAGCGTTGCTCGACTCTGGTTCACAAATAAATTTTGTGACCGATGAGCTCGCCCAGAGGCTCAAAATTACAAGACAGGACGTGTGCATGTGCTTGCGAGGCATTGGTGGAACTAATGCCCAAGCCACAAAAAAAACACGGTTGTGAAGTCGCGAGTAGGGAACAGTTGTCGTCCGATTTTTGGATCATGAAAAATATTTCTGGTTACCATCCGGGTGAAGCGGTCACCACCAGCGGGTGGAGGGTACTTCAAGCCCCAAAAAATAGATATGCTTATCGGCGTTGGTACATTCTTTGAACTTTTATCTATTGGCCAGATAAAGCAGGGGCCTGAATCCCCATCTTACAAAAAACAGTTCTCGGCTAAATAGTGTCAGGAGATGTGCCTCTGAAAATAATGTAAACGCTGAAAAAATGGTACATCTCACTTGCCAGGAGGAAGCGTTGGAGTCAATTGACACAACCCTGCAGAAATTTTGGTCTTGGGAGCACTTGCCGCCCAAGACTAAAGTCCATACTCCTGAGCAACAACTCTGTCAACAACACTTTGAGAAAAATACTTAAAGATTGTCGTCCAGTAAATTTTCTGTTCGTTTGCCGTTCAAATCTAGCCCAAATACTCTTGGTTCGTCATACGAAGTTGCGAAACTTAGATTTTTCTCGCTAGAAAGGAAATTGTCGAAGCTGACCGAAACTTCCAGCTCATAGTATGGAGACGAGATCCTTCCGAGTCCCTGAAAATCTTTAAGTTAAACCGGTTACAAATGGAATTTCGCCAGCACCCTTCTTAGCGATTCGGTGTTTAATGCGACTATGAACAATTACACAAACAACTCATCCAAAAGCCGCAAAGGTTATTCAGAATGATTTTTATGTTGACGATTTGTTGACTACAGCCGGATGCGTTGAGGACCTGCAAAGTCTTCGAGACGAAGTTTCTCAGGTCTTGCAAAAGGCAGGTTTTAAATTGGCAAAGTAGTTTTCAAACTGCCCAGAGTTATCCGCATCTGATAGCGCTGTAATGCCACTTATGGCAGACTCCGACTTTTCGACCCACTTCGCTTCTTGTGGCCTTTGGACACAGAGGCAAAGATGTTGTTGCAGGAACTCTGGGATCAAAAGTTAGATACGAGTCGCTACCGATGCGCTTGCTAACATCGTGGAAAGCTTTTAAAGTATCGCTTCTGCGGCTACCGAAAATTAAGGTCTCGGGTATCGTCCACCCAGATTCGCAATATCCTTCTCTAATACATGGTTTCGCTGACGCTTTCATGCGACCGTATGGAGCGTGCATCTACGTTCGTACTCAAACTGCTAAAGGTTTAAAAATGTTCTTATTGACCGCCTAGTCGAAAGTAGCTCCCCTCAAGAGCCTAGCCTTGTGCTGAGCGCAGCTCACTTCTCTAAATTGTCCCATTGAGAATATTTTCTTGTGTGATTATAATACCCTCTACAAGGGTATAAAACTATTAAACACATCATTTTATTACTTAATCTCGAAACTAGCGAACATATTAAAGATTTGTAATAAACTTAGAATTTGTACATCGGAAACGGAATGTTTAAGAGCCTACTACATTGGTCCTGTAATCCATAAAATGATGATTTTAAAATTATGAAAACTTTTTTTATGTACTTCAAGTAGGTATCAACAATTTGTATTGTTTTTGAGTTTTGATTTTAACTTTAATTCTTAAAAGTAACCTGTATCACCCCACTGTGAGATGTAATCTTTAAAAGGGAAACGAAAGACGAAATTAACGATATTGCAACACGTTAGCTGTTGTTGTTGTTGTTGTTGTTGTTGTAAAGACCAAACCCGTGTAAAGGTTAAGGGAATTATAAACTTACCTATCGTAAATAAACGTGGTTCTAAAGTTGTACAAAATGTGTTGCCATCCATTAATCCTATTTGTGCATTTGCGGGCTGGTGCCTTAACAAATGCTTTTTCGGAGGTATTATGTCAGCGAGGACATCCTTATGTGGATCCATAACTTCGGAAACGGTTTTTGATTGCAGGGTTCCAATGTGTTTTAATAATGCCATAGATTCTTCTCTGACGATTGCGTTGGGACTTGTTATGTGTCGCACTAACTCGTGAATAACTTCATAAGATGCTTTGGATTGCAAATCATTTAAATCTGCATTTTTATAACATTCACTTATAGGGCTTAAGCAAATTTCCAACATAGTTTTCATATAGTTTTTTGTAATATCGATAGCGCCATTAGAAACATCTCCTTCTAGGTCCATTAGTACAAACATAAATGCTTTTAAAAAATTAAAGAGATTTTGAAAAAGAGCACGCAGAGACATATGTTTACATAAAAACTGAATTGCTTGACAACCCCCCACTTTTGAATACCAGGGGCGGTCATAGCATAGGGATATCATTTTTTCAGCTAAATACTGGATAATAGGTAATCTGCACGCTCTTTCTTTATTACCCATAATATTTGTTGCAGTGTCAAGAATAATACCCATGCATGCTATTCCTGGTTTACATAATTCCTTTTCTTCATGACCCATGCAAGAGGCTAAAGCATCAATTAATACCAAAGGATCAACTCCATTCGCAGTTTGATACACTTTCTGTGGAAAAGGTCCCGCCTGTTGTGCTATAGCTACCATAGTATAATGTCTAACAACGGCGGCCATTACTGGACACACAGAATCACGCAAATCCTTTGTTGCTGAAGCAACTAACATTCCTATTAGGGCTGTTTGATGCGTTCCTCGTACAGTTTCATTCTCGATTTTATGTTGAAGCGTAGACGAATTTATAATATTACTTTCAACAAAATCCACATGAGTAAAAAGTTTTAGCAATATATGTTTTTCATCATCCAAACTTATGAACGCAGCTAGAAAGCATCGGATTATTTCCCAGCTTTGTCGTCTATAAAACTGTTCAGTAGAGTTTGATCCCAAGGCTCTGAGAGCTGATTCAATCGCCTCATCGACAGGAAAATCTATCGGGGTCTCATACTCTTGAAAATATGTTACAATTGATATGGTTGGCTTTTCAGTTTTCTGATAAGATAAAATTTGCGGCTCCACCATCATTTTTCGATTTCCACCTCCAAATTTTCCAAGAACGCGAAACGCAACTAATGCGGCATTGTCCTGATTTCTTAAGGTTTTCCACAAAGCTTGCATCAATGCTGCTCTCACTGGTTGTATGTGATCATATAAAAAGTCAGGCTGCAAGTTATCAACGCATAGTTCCAATGTTCGCAAGCCCTAAAAATAAAACATCATTATTAATTTAAAAGCAAAATTTTTCAGTTTGCTGCAAGTTGTTGCTACTTTATCCAGTATAGAACCAAAGGAAAAAATATAGTGCACAAGTCCTTTGATTCTTTGTCTATGAGGTCAATGAAAACTAATTGTTAGAAAAAAAACGAAGTTGTCATTTTTCCTATCCTATCACAGCTATGTGTTATGTATATTATATATTAATAAATTATAAATATTAAAATCGAATTTTCGTTAAGAACCGAAATGGCTATATTTTGGAGTGTATGCGTTTCTGATTAATAAGTTTTAATTGTTTATTTTTTTCCGCATCTTACAATGGCAGCTGTGTGGAAGATTCGTCCGATCCATACCTTTTTTGGTCCCGACAGTATGCATCGGGAATGTTGGTCCGAAACGCCTTAATACTACCCAAAGCTAATCAATTTTAGCTGGCTTAGAAGCAGCAATTGCCGTCTTAAGGTCCGACCACGGATCCCACAGGATTAACGTCAGGCGACTGCGCTGGTCACTTCAAATCGTTGACAAAGTTTTTTCTGAACCATTCCTAAGCTTTCCTGCTGGATTACACATATGAGCCTGATTTCCTACTCTCGAAACGGTAGCATAATATTTTACAAAATATGCACGTAGACGTGCTGATACATGATGATTTTAATCCAATATATTGGGCCTACTTTATAGTAGGAAAAGCAAATCCATACCACTAACTACATCCTTCATGATTAATGGTTTTCTTGGTTTTCTGAGTCATGTATTCTACGTTCTTTGGACGTCTGTTTTGTTCCGTCGCATTTATTTTTAGCTTCTTTTAAAGCGCTGTAGCAAGCTTGAAAGGATCTTTTTTGCTTTCACGACTTAAATAAAAAAAATAATATACGGAAAGGAAATTGAAAAACATTTCAACTTTTCCGTATTGGGGAAATACTTAGCAGTATAAAAGAGGAAATAACGCTTTAGTCGAATTTGCCGACTATTAGATGACTCAGATAACAATATTCAATATAAAAGCTAGAGATTTGAGATTTGAAACGCAAACAAGTCTCTAAGTTATCTGAATGAAACTTTCCCAAAAGTATTCTTTTTATTGCAGCCACAACCACTTTTCAGTCGAGCTGGTCTGGTAGAACTTTAAAGAAAAACGAAGGGCACCTGATCTACAAGTTGCAGTACCTTCTGCACCGAAGAATCACCGCCGCACAAACGGAAGTGCTATGCACAAACTGCCACACAGGGTTTTACTGCATCCTAAGGTCAGTCTGTGTAGCTTGAAGAGACTGCCACAACTCCAAACCTTGTCCTGCCAACAAAAAAAAACTCTCTTATGAAAATGTGAAAGCGTGTGGAGAAAACCACATATCAAACTATCGTGTCTACAAGAATCAAACGAATCGTTTTCATCGTGAAACACCGGCACGTTTCCAGGCAACAAAAAAAGTCCACTTTATATCTCAAACCACACCTGAAGTTTTCTTCGGCAGAGCAGCCAGACCAAAATCGCAACATCAGTTTGCAACAAAGTATGATGGACCATACGCAAAATCAAAACATATTGATACAGATGCTTGCATCTCAGCAGTCCAAATTAACCATGTCTTGACTACGAATATCTCTGTGGAATGCCAAAATTATAGCTTTGCTGTTTTTTAATTTTTTTTTTTGTAGTTCTACGACATATAGTAATGGTTAAATATTTCAGAATTACATTTTAAGTTTCATCAAAATCGGACGACTATATAATATAGCTCCCATAGAAACAATCGAAAAAAAAAATTCAAAAAAAATTATTACTTTGCTGTTTTTTAATTTTTTTTAGTTCTTCGACATATAGTAATGGTTAAATATTTTATACAAACGGTTTAAATTTCATCAATATCGGACGACTATATCATATAGCTCCCATAGAAATAATATAAATATAACGGAGAAGGAGTGTTTTCATGGTCTGCCATTTCGATTGCGCAGTAAGTCCCGATCGCGCCAAGAGCCCAATTCAAACTGACCACCCTTCAAATACCAGAGCTCATCTTCTTGCAACTTCTTGCTCTCTGGTTCTCTCTCTCTCTCTCTTGGGCGACCGGGCCTCACTCGACGACTACGCCACTCTAAAAGAGATCTGGCAATGCCGTCGCGCTACGAGTAGAGTAGGAATTCCTAGAATCCATGTTTTACCAGGAACCAGCGGCTTATGCCAAGCGACAACCAAATCGGAGCGCCAAATAACTTTAGCGTTCATCGGATTCAAATATTTCTGAGAACTGCGACACGGCCTTCCTGACCTGCACACGTCCTCGTGTATGCGTGGTCATGACCCATTAAGCTTTACAACAAGCAGTATTCCTTTCAATTTTTTTTATTGACATTAGCTTCTAATCCAAATCATTCAATTATTTCATAAACATACAACCAATAACAGCGTTTCTTGTTATATCTCAACAATATTCATTTTCACAATTTCTCTTTATTTCCAATTGGACACCAACTCGTCCTCCTGACTCCCGCCACGTATCCACACAGGATCATGGTGCAGTCGTATACACATATACTCCCGCCACGCATTCACACAGAATCGTGGTGCAGTCTCACACAATTGTTCTTGCCAAGCATCCTCGTAGGATTTACACATACGCTCCCGCCAAGCATCCCCATAGGATCATGGTGCAGCCGTATACACATACATATGCTCCCGCCACGCATTCACACAGAATCGTGGTGCAGCCGTATACACATTTGACATTCGGAGCTATTTATTTTCATCAATCGAACGATCAAATTCTTCATCTATTTCTGCAAGTATTTGCGTATCAGGTAGAGACCGTAAATGTTCGTGTGCATATTTATACTGCCGTTTACTAGTTAACGACTTTAGTTTATATCTGTCTCCCTCCAAAACTTCAATAATTTCAAATGGCCCCTTAAATTTAGGATCTAGCTTCGTTTGATTTCTCTCTTCATTTTTAATCAAAACATAGTCACCAACCTGGTGATTTACAATCTTTGCTTTGTTTTTATCAAATCTCTTTTTATCGTAATTGGCGTTCCGATCAATGTTTTCTTTGGCTTGCGCTCTAATTTTGTCCCTATCTATTACCACCTCTTCTTCTGTAATAGGCAACAAACCGAATGGCCTTCCTTCCCTGCCGATCATTAATTCCAAAGGACTTACTTTGGTGACACGGTTAATCGTACTATTAATAGCTAACTGAACTTCTAATAGCGCATCTTGCCAGGAGCGCTGGCTTGTTTCGACTGCTGTAAGCATACTTTTAAGCGTACTCATTTCGCGTTCAACTTGCCCGTTAGATCTGCTGGCGCCGGTGGCAATCAAATGTAGGTTAATTTTCTGGGAAGAGCAAAACTCGCGGAATCCGGAACTGGTAAAAGATCTACCCTGATCGGCAATCACACGCATTGGCAAACCAAACAACGAGACAACAGATTTCATTGCTCTCACACAGTTTTCCGTATCTAAACTCAAAGTGTGATACAAATATACGAACTTAGTAAAGGCGTCTATAATAACAATGACATACTCTTTTTGGTCATTCTTGCCACTCAATTTCCCTGTAATATCGATATGCAGAGTATGCCAAGGTATATCTATTTTTGGAATCGGATGGAGTTCTGCCTGCACTTTACCTTTAGAGCCTTTTGATATTTTGCATGTAATGCAATTTTCTACGAAACGCCTAACATATTTTGACATGTGGGCAAACCAATAGTGCGCATAAACTTTATCTAATGTCTTCTCCCAACCCAAGTGCATTACAGCTTCGTGTACGTGGTTTATTACAGCCCATCTGTAAGCTCTGGGTATTACGGGCAGACAGCGTGTTCTTCCGTTGCGTTGGATTTTTCGATGAAGCATACCTTTTCTCAACTCATAAGTTTTTAGTAAATATTCCTCTAATTCGTCGTTACGTAGCTTTTCGATTATTTCAGAAACTTCTGGATCGCGCTGTTGTTCGGCGAGTAGCCAGTTGTCGGAGACCTCGGTTAAATTTATGCGCTTCTCGACTACCTTTTCTAATTGGGAGTCCTTTTGGACGGGTAGAGGATTCCGAGACAGAAAATCAGCATGAGCCATTCTCTCCCCTTTCCTATATTCAATGCGAAACTGAAAAGCCTGTAAGTACCCCCACCACCGGTGTACCCTCGGCGTCAATGTGGTCTTGGAACGACTAGCCCTTAATGAATCGCAATCCGTAAAAATCACAAATTCGAGACCCTGCAAATAATGCCTGAAATGTTTAACGGCGTTCACCACTGCGAGAGTTTCTAACTCGTAAGAATGGTATTTGGACTCGACTGGAGTTGTGCATTTACTAAAATACTCGATTACATACGGCTTTTTATCTATTCGGTGCATCAAAATGGCACCATAACCAACCATACTTGCATCTGTATGCAACTCGACAGGGTGTTTGGGATCGAAGATGGTCAATACTGGAGAACTTGTCAAAATTTCTATTATTTTCTGTCTAAGTTGTTCATGTTCGTCTTTCCATGTAAGTTCCTTGCATTTTTGAGAAGTTAGTAGAAATAATGGTTTTAATAACTCTGAAAATTTTGGCACAAACTGCCGGAAGTAGGAAGCCAATCCTATGAATTGTCTTAACTGAGGTACCGTCTGAGGAGGTGGTAGTTCCACAAGTGCTTTTATTTTACGACCATTTGGTCGTATTTCTCCCGCACTAACTTCATACCCTAGGTAATTTATTTTCTGTGTGAGGAATGTACACTTGTTTATGTTAAATGAGAAACCGGCTTCCATTAAAATTTTAAGGACTTCATTTAATCTTTCCATTGCCTGAACTTTCGTTTCTGCAACTATCAAAACGTCGTCAATATTAACAATAACATAGGTATGGGCTAATGGTCCCAAAGCATTAATTATTGCACGTTGAAACACCGATGGAGCGTTCTTTAACCCAAATGGCATGGCGAGAAATTCATACTGCCCCTCGGGCGTTACAAATGCCGTC